GCCTGTAATCCCAGCTACTCAGGAGGCTGAGGCAGGAGAATTGCCTGAACCCAGGAGGCGGAGGTTGCGGTGAGCCGAGATCGCGCCACTGCATTCCAGCCTGGGTTCAAGTGATCAGCCTGCCTTGGCCTCCCAAAGTACTGGGATTACAGGCATGAGCCACCACACCCAGCCAGAAAGTTTATTCTTAATTAATAATGTTAGCAAGAAAAGTTTAAGTTCATAAACTGTTTTCAAGAACTTCTACATGCTTAGGCAACACTCCTCCATCTCAAAAAAAAAAACCACTAGTCAATTTTTTAACTCCATGACTTGTACTTTGTCATTTTTTATAGAAGGCCTTTTCTTATGGTTATAACTATACTCTATTTTCTTCTAATTATTTTTTTTCTGATAGGTTTTAAAAATAAATCATATAGTTAGCACTTTGGTCATTCTGGAATCTCGACGATTAGCAATCCTTCTAGGGGCTCTAAGGTACTTAAAGAAGTTCTAAAGGAACTTCTATTTGAAATCTTTGGAGTCTGGTCAAACAGAAGAGGCTAGACAGGGTAAATATTGGGATATTCCAGTACCACAAGCCAGGATAGGAGGAGGATATTCTCTTAGAGCTTTAGGATTTAATAAGTCAAAGTATATGTCAGCCAGGTGCATATAATTATATACTCACCCCTGTAATCCCAGCACTTTGGGAGGCCGAGGGAGGTGGATCACTTGAGGTCAGAAGTTCAAGACCAGCCTGGCCAACATGGTGAAACCCCATCTTTACTAAAAATACAAAAATTAACCAGGCATGGTGGTGCATGCCTGTAACCCCAGCTACTCAGGAGGCTGAGGTAGGAGAATGGCTTCATCCTGGAAGGTGGAGGCTGCAGTGAGCTGAGATTGTGCCACTGCACTCCAGCCTGGGTGACACAGTGAGACTCTGTCTCAAAAAAAAAAAGATGTGCCACCTGGGAGGATCACTTGTCCCCAAGAGGTCAAGACTGCAGTTGCCATGACAGCCTGGGCAACAGAGTGAGACTCTGTGCCAAAAAAATATAATAAAATAAATAAAAATAAAGTGTATGTTAGGTCTCTTGTACTTTATATAAGGGAGGGATATGTTTTCCACACATGAAGGAGAAAGCAAACACTTTTCATATACAGATAAAGTAATTGAGATGACATTGGAGGATGTGTTTCTAGAGCCAGAGCACCTGCTATCCTTGGGAAGATATTTAAACACAGTGCCCCAGATGCTTTGCCTATACGATGGAAATAGTAACGGGACCTTCTCTTCCGTTGTGGAAATGCGATGAGACAGTTCATGAACAATGCTTTGAAAAATGTCTGACATAAGCCCTCAACAAATATTAGCTAGTATTATTATTACATAAGAAAGTAGAAGAATTCTGCATGATAATCATTATGGGCAGGTGGCAACTTCTGAAAACACCATGCTACAAGTTTAGAAGTCAATGACATTGATATGAGAACACTTATATCTTCTGAAACAATGTTATATATTATTAACATTATATACCTAATCTATTTTACTCATAAAGTACCTAAAATTCAGTTTCTGGTCACTACGCCTTTCACAGCATTGTTCCCATGGGGAAATGTGCTTTTAGTCCCAAGACGTTTTTTTTTTTTTTTTGAGACGGAGTTTCGCTCTTGTTACCCAGGCTGGAGTGCAATGGCGTGATCTCGGCTCACCGCAACCTCCGCCTCCTGGGTTCAGGCAATTCTCCTGCCTCAGCCTCCTGAGTAGCTGGGATTACAGGCACGTGCCACCATGCCCAGCTAATTTTTTGTATTTTTAGTAGAGATGGGGTTTCACCGTGTTGACCAGGATGGTCTCGATCTCTTGACCTCGTGATCCACCCGCCTCGGCCTCCCAAAGTGCTGGGATTACAGGCTTGAGCCACCGCGCCCGGCCCCAAGAAGATGTTTTAACAATCTTTAGGAGTTTCTAGATTTCTACTTCTGAATATATATATATATATATATATATATATATATAACCAGAATTTCAGAACAGATAAACTCCAGTGATAAAAAAATAAAAATTTAAATTAAAAAAAAAACTTGTTTTTATAATAACAAAAGGAAACAAGCCACTAGGACCACTTCACTAAGAGTTCATAATTTTTTCTTTTTTTGAGACGGAGTCTCGCTCTGTCACCCAGGCTGGAATACAGTGGTGCAATCTCCACTCACCAAAACCTCTGCTTCCTGGGTTCAAGTGATTCTCCTGCCTCAGCCTCCCAAGTAGCTGGGATTATAGGCACCTGTCACCAAGCCCGGCTACTTTTTGTATTTTACTACCTAAAATACTCTCTACAAGACACGGGTTTCATCACGTTGGCCAGGCTGGTCTCAAACTCCTGACCTCCGGTGATCCACCTGCCTCGTCCTCCCAAAGTGCTGGGATTACAGACATGAGCCACGGCACCTGGCCAAGAGTTCATAACTTTGTTTTGGGTAACGTTGCTGGCACTGACTCAGTTTAAAATTGATTGATGTTAGCTGAAAAACAAATACAGCGTTTTCAGGTCTCCTGCCCTGCTCGTTCCCAGTAGAGGTGCAGGTGCCTGCTTTATCTTCCAACACGGAATTAACAGAGAGGCCCAGGTTCACAATGTTCTGACTAACCTGAAACAGAGAGCTCTTTATTGAGATCGGTGCCACTTGGTGGTTTTCCATATAAACCCGTGAAAATGGCTATTTATGTCCGGGGACAGGGCTGCTAAGCCCTTCTGCTGATCCCTCCTTCCGGGAAGGGAACTGACAAGTGAGAAAGTCCAGCTGGAGAAAGAACAATGAGCCGCCCAGGAGTCCACAGCAGCCTGCCGCGGTTCAGAGTCACTCCGACCCTAAAAGGGCTGCAAATGGATGACATTCAACAGGTGTGCATCACACCCATGCTGATCGCTAAATACGGAAATGGTGTCCTGTCCGAGGGTGAATGGGTGCTGCCCCAGCCTCGTGCCAGCAATGCGGGGTTACCACCTGGCTGGGCAGGGCTGTGTCTGGAGTTGAGTCTGTGGGTGGAGGCCCCGCTGAGGAGGGTTTTGCCCATCACACTCGTTTCTCAGATTCAGTTACACATCCAGCAAAATTCTCAGAGGCTGTGTGGTCCGTGACTTCCTGAAGAAGTCTGGGCTTGCACCCTGAAGGGTGGGCACTGTGGCTGTCACTGTGGTGAATGTCCATATGTCCTAAGAGACGTGGCCTCCACCGCTCCACTGGGCCTCAGATCTTACTACTATTTCGCTGTTTCATTTGTCTCACCAGCAGCAGATAGGGTTACCAGGGCAAATACTGAAAGAAAAACACCTGCCCAAAATTCAAATGTGGATCCTGGAATATTTAGAAGTAACACGGTGTGATGGCAGGGATAGGTTTCAAAATACTCCAGAGGAACAAAAACGTGGGGGTGGAGGAGGACAGATAAAATAAGATAGTAAAATGTCAAAGTGTTGAAGCTAGGTGGCGGGTCTGTGACAATTCATTGAATTATTCTATTTTGTGCATGTTTCAAAATGTCCACAATAAACAGTCACACGAATAAAAAAACCTAGTTTTTAAAACTATCGAAATCCCCTTCCAGGGTAAGTAGCTCTCCCAGGGCCCCCACATTAGCAAAGGGGAATACAGAGCTCAAACTCAGATTCTTATTGTTGTTTTCCAAAAAGTTCCAAGTCCAGAGCTCCTGGCACTCCTTGATATGTGGCCAAGAATGCATGCCAATGCAAGAGTAGTGCCAAAAGGTGTTGTTAGGGATCTCAAACACCTTCCTATGACGCACCCTTCCTGGTAGTCCCAGCTACCTCGACACGTTTTATTTCAGTGCATACCAAATGTTAAATATTAACTTTCTACAGCCGGCTAAGGACGCCAGGAATGATTGCATCAGCTCACCTGTCGCAGGTCTCCCGTGGAGACACTAATAATAAGAGTTGGGATGATCATGAAGCAGGCATTGTAGAAAAGCACTCCGTATTTCCCTAGCTCCTGCAAAAACAGAAACAAAAAAGAAAACCACTCAATTTTACACACATGAGGCATGGATTTCCTGGAGTCCCTTACACTACTGCATATTCATACAAAGTTAGAACACGCCTTCTGAGCAACTCTATTGGAATATTTTCAGCCACTTTCTGACATAAAATGCTTCATTTTGAGGGTACTGAGATTTTGGAATAAACATTGGTTTTACACCAAAACTACAGAGAAAACACATGGCAGAGGAAAGCCTCTAGGGTCCCCTTCGTCTGCAGCATTCTAATTGTGTGGGCTTTTTAAAAGCATGTTATTCAAAATGGGAAATCAGGAATGAAATAAAGAACATTAAAAATATTAATATAAACAAAACTCTTTCAAAAACATCTGCTCTTTCCACTAAAGAACAGCAGCATTCTATATTTACTTTCATTAAAGTGGCCACCCCACTTCACCATTTTCAAAAAAGGATGACATATTGTCATACGCAAAAGACAACAAACCAGTTTTTGTAAAACTGCCACCATTAAAAAAAAAAAAATGGCCATGCGGGGGGTAAAAAACAAAACAGTGGAGATAAAAAAATATATAGCTCATGGAAATAAGCCTGCTGGTCAGAGTGAACTCCCTCATCCAGCACAAAGAGCTTGGAACAAAGAAACATATGCCTGACTCATCCTCCCCAGCTTCCTGTAACAGCTGGGGGTGCGGGAGGGACGGGGCCACCACGTGACAGGCAGACACACAAAAGCAGAGCTCCTCTGCCCCAGCCCCTCATCATCAGAAGCATCAGCTATTGCCGGAGGAGACTTTACAAATTATCCATTCCAGTCATTTCACTCCACAGGTGAGGAAACCAAAGTTTGGAGCAAAGTTACGGCTCAAAGTCACAACAGCCAGTAAACAGCAAAACTTGTATCTGTAACCCACATCCCCAGACCCCAAACTAGTGCTCTCAGAACAAACACTGTGACCCCTGACCTTGCCTTGTTCACTGATAACGCTGGTATAAAAGTTAATTTGCCTTTCCAAATAATCTCTTTTTATACATTCTGAGTGTGCATCTAAACTAGTGGCTTTGCCCATCCTATCTCATTTTCGTCCAAAATTTTGCAAATAATAAGAATTTATACAGATAATTAAAAAGAATTTGTAATTTACAGGTCATATCATATAGGTTAAATGACGGACCAGCTGTACACATTCATTTTCACTTTGCATGTTATTCTAGGGGCCAGATGACATAGCCAAAACGCCATAGGCAAGATCTGATACCTTTGGGTCCATTTTCTGTTTGGTATAAACTCCGTTTGCTGCTGTGAAGATATCATTCAGGAATACAAAAATATAGCCTTCTAAGTTAAAAGCAAGGTCAGACCTGGGAAGGAGACCACAAAAGGAGAATGATTATTCAAAAACTCACAATTTGGCCTCCAAGCCAGCCTGTTCTATCTTTTGCTAATCAAACCCGCCTTTCTGTGGCACACTTTCCCTGCTTTGTGGTAGTGAATGGTTAATTCCTCTGCTTTGCCTCCAGACAAAAACCAAAACAGCCATCAGGTGGCTTCAATTCCATCGTGAATGGCTTAAAACCAGAGGGACACTAACCATCTTCCTTCAACTGCAACCCCTTTCTTTTGCTAGCTGATGAATCCGCGTAACAATCGGTGAGCCCTGACTTTCCGAAGGGGAGTCTTTCGCCCCAACCCACCCAGGGGCTTTGCTTATTGTAGTGAACAGGTCCAACCCCAGGGTGCAGCCAGTGAGGGGCAGCTGGGCAGAGACTGGGTAGGAGGGGTTGTGTGAGACAGTGACACCTCCATCTGGACCAAACCGCACCCTGTCCACCAAAATGGCCAGGTAGGTATCCATCCTTCTATGTTGCCCCTCTAAGGCTCCTTTCTTCCCATTCTTTTGAAATATCTTCTCTTCCATTTCCATTGTAAATGGCACCAGCGTAAAACATCTGGGAGCAATGACAGGAAGGAGGGAAGCACAAGGGCTGAGCCGTGGCACGGCTCACCACCTGCACTTTGTCCTTGCAAACAGTGCTAGACCCATGTCATAATTCAGAAATATACATTGCCAGGGAGGAAATCCTTTTCCCGTACCCCCTTAGGTTCAGTGCCTGCGGGCCCGCTAATTTAACTGACAAAAGACAGATTAACAGGACGAAGGGAATACAAATCTTATTAATATGTTCCCCGGAGTTCACAGAAAAGAAGTGAAACTCAAAGAAGCAGTTAGACTTGGGGACTTACGTTTTAACAAAGGAAAGAGGATTTGGGCTTTGAGGGACAAATAAATTGTGTAATGATTAAAAAGTAACTAGGAAATCTACGGTGGAAATGATGAATGAGAAGGGTTATTTTAGGGTTTGTTTCTGTAGACGCATCGCAGGGCTGACCCTCCGTTCAGTGATAGGAATTGCTCTCCTCTTCCTGAGATGGGAGAAGGGGCCCCCTTCACAATGGGAAATTGATACCATTATCAATTAAATGGTTTTTTAGGCAGAAAGGAGAAGGCAGCAAACTTCCTGCATCTGTGGATTCTTAACTGTCCTCGGCTCAAAAGCATCCTGATCCCATAGTGGCATATTTTGCAGTGGCATATCCTGAATCTTCTTCAATGTCAAAATAAGATTATCTCTAACCAAAGAGAATGAAACAGCAAAAATTGTACCAAAATCTGAATGCAAATCAAACTAGATGTTGGCTTCAGGCCTCCACACATTATTATCTACAAATATATTTGTGAAAAGGGATTAATTTTAGGTCATCATAAGTCAGAATTATCTCTCAGTCACAGTTTAAAAAAGAAGGATTTTCTCCAAAATCAGGGTCTTCCAAATCTCTTACCTACCCACATGTGATTTATCGAGAAGAGCAGAGTCTGGCGCCCCCTGAGATGGCAGAGCTGAGAGAGTGGACAGGGGATGGGGGAGATGCCGCCCACCTCCTCAGAGAGCTGCAGGGAACGCCTACTCAGGGGACCAGAAGTTCCCAGCAGCGCTGTTCCCACTCCCAGAAGCTGGGACCACTGTCAGGTGGCTTACCCACTGTTTGTTAAGGCTACTAGTGACAGCACAGACGTTTCTGAAGAATTTACTTGTTTAATCAATTACAGAAAATGTATGTAACCCCTGCAGTTGTTCAAAACGATCCTCCCACCTTAGTCTCCTGAGAAGCCGGGACTACAGGCATGTGCCACCGTGCCCGGCTAATTTTTTTTTATATTTATTTTTGTAGGGACAGGGCTCACTATGCTGCCACAGCTGGTCTTGAACTCCTGGGCTCAAGCAATCCTGTCACCTGGGCCTCCCAAAGTGCTGGATTGTCAGAGGCCTGTGAACCAGAGCAACTCCATCTTACAGGGGGGCTGGGTGAAATGAGGCTGAAACCTACTGGGCTGCAGTCCTAGACTGTTATGGAATTCTAAGTCACAGGATGAGATAGGAGGTCAGCACAAAATACAGGCCATAAAGACCTTGCTGAAAAAAACCTTACTGGCCGGGCGCGGTGGCTCACGCCTGTAATCCCAGCACTTTGGGAGGCCGAGGCGGGTGGATCACGAGGTCAAGAGATCGAGACCATCCTGGTTAACATGGTGAAACCCCGTCTCTGCTAAAACTACAAAAAATTAGCTGGGCATGGTGGCACGTGCCTGTAATCCCAGCTACTCAGGAGGCTGAGGCAGGAGAATTGCCTGAACCCAGGAGGCGGAGGTTGCGGTG